TCGTCAGAACTTTTGTTGAGAGAGTGAGGAAAAGACGGCAAAAATAAGAGGAAATCAAGACGTCAGTTAAATATACGACTTCCTCAGACACAGTCAAAAAGAAGTCTTCTAGCGGGTATATTAGAGGTGAAATTTTAAACAGTGCTAAATTGTTACTGTGAGCAACAGATAAATTCATTTTCCACATGAGTAAAAAACGAAATGAAATTAGAGAAATTAAAAAAAGTACCATTCTATATTAGTAAAACAGAAGCACAGTTGCGTGAACTGAGAAAGTTACGAGTAATAATCATTTTGATAGCTTTTGTATACAGCATAATCGCCGGAATGATTCAATTTTTTTTGCTTGTACACCTTAGCTATCAATTTCCGTTTCGCATTATAACATCTCAGATTTCTGGAGGATGCAAACGATAAAGTGGAAAGTCATTTTCTAGCACATAAATTTATTTGACCTTGAAAATACAAAAAAAAAAAAACAATAGTTTTTATAACAGAAGGTCACTAGAAGGACGGAGACTTCGTGAAGCTACCGATCTACACGTTAACTGCTCGTAAAAAAGCTTATAGAATAAGACGTCTGAGTTTTGAAAAAAATTTTTGAATTTGTGTGTATCACGGAAGCACTAAATTTATTCATACTTCTCAGGTAAAGTGAATGTTCTCTCCTGCTTAAAACTCACATTATTCGCAATTTTGCTCAGTTTTAAACAAATATCTAGTTTTTACTAAACATAACCACTTTTATTAGCTAGACAACGCAGAAATTGATTAGAATTTAATTTCCTAAGGATGGTATAACCATGATAAACTTTTTACCATTGACTCAATGGTACATCAAAAACTTTCGTTCCATACCTCGTTAACAGATTTAATTGCACAATATAAGTGCAGCAATTGTGAGTTTCCAGTTGCATAAACAACATCTTTCTCATATATTGTCATATTTAAAGTGGTTTAAACAGGTGAAGTGTCCAAGTTTCGTTCAGGCAGATTCATAAACGACATTCAAGATACAATTTTTTGGCAAGCTCTCAAAGTCTGCGCGAAGATACAGTGAAGAGGCTGAAAAAAGGTAGCAGACGGTTCCACGTTTTCAGCATGCAGTCTAAACGAGGCCTTAAAGGCATCAGTGCATGGCGATAAAAGCGAATCACATGCATAAAAAAATATTACATTCCCAAGCCGCCTAGCCGTCAACAGTTTAAAAGTACTCTGAGCCTTTGTTTCGTACTCGCCCCCCAGCCTCAAGTCTCACCACCTCAAAACCTTAGAAGTAAGGATTAGTCTACTGATTCGTGAGGTAGGGGGACGGTCAAAAGATACTGAAAGAATTAATACACTTAATTTTAAAGTAAAATGGTAGTTCGTTTTAAAGAGCCATAATTCCGCCACTTTTTCGGCTTTTAGGGTCGATCTTAAAATTAAAATGTTTAGCATAAATCTACAGATTTGCCTGTGGAAAACTAGAGGAAAAAATAAACCGATTTGGAAGCAACAAACAAGATTTGTTGTGAGGAGGCACTGCGAATATTGTGTTTGAATGGTAATTAAATGCTGAAAAGAAGCATTGCAAGAAAAAATGCTTGAACGGTTTTCAGTCTTATACGAGGAAGTCACTGAGCCAATAAGAAAATCAAAAAAAGATTATTATAAATCCAGAAGGCAGCTCTCAAACTCATAATTAACTATTGCTTCAAACTTCCCTCAAAAAAAACCCTTGAGTCAAAACAAATATTCAGTGTAATTGTATTATATTTGTCTTCTTGGAACATCTTAATAATTTTCTTGGAGAAGGGCACATTGCTTATATCAGAAGGAATTTGGAATTTAATGATATCAAACTAGTCAAATAGACTGCAATGGCAGCAGCAAAAAATTTGTAAAAGCCTACTACGGAAGTAAAATCCACCGTTTTTTTATATAACAGAAATTGTTAGACAATTTTATAGAGAACGGATTTTTTAATAATTCTTTTTCTCATTTCTCAGTTTTTTTGTAAAACTGCAGTCAATAAGAAAAGTCTTGTTAAAGCAAGATTATTAAGAGATAAAAAAATTTTAAAACAACAGATATCATTCACAACAAAACGATTCGTTCAGCCAGCTAATCATACGCTAAAAAAGCTCGTCAGGACAACTCCAGTCAAAAAGAATTTGGCTAGGTAAGTTAAACAGAGGATAAGACAAAAACCTATCGTTCCAAAAAACTTCTTAACATTATTCTTTTTGCTTCCCGTTTGCAAAAAGACTGTACAAATTACAGATCTATTTTTGCTCCCAAATGTAACAGTAGATTATTCTGAAAAAAAAAAAAAAAAAAAAAA